AGACGTCAGGAAATTGGGCTGGCTTGAAAAAATGTTCCAAACATTTTGAAGGAATACATTTACAGACATCTCAACTCTCCTGGACGTTCCGGGAGTCTCCCGCTATAAGATAGCGGCTCTCGGACGCCCGGGAGAGAAACATTTTCTTCCGGAAAGGTTTACTCTGCTCTATCTAGCTTATCTAGTAAACCTTTCCCTGCTAACTGTTTTTTTTTTTTTACTTGACATTGGGGCCACCGGCCGCTGTCAGTCAGAGGGGAAAAAAAAAACAGCATGGGAATGAATAGCTCAGCTTCTATTGGCAATTTAAATTTGCAATAGCCAATAGCACACTCTCTATTGCACCTGCCCACTGCTGCTTCAATCAGCAGAGGAGGACCTGAAGTTCTCCATCAGCAGCAGGTGTCAGATAACAAGAGAAGAATTAGCTTCTTTGCGATCTGCCATCATTTCAGGGAGGTGCTCCCCCCCCCCCCACACACACACACACACACACACACACACACACTGATGGTGACAGAGGGCACCTCCTTGAAATGAGAAGAGCACCTCCTGAAATGACTTTATTCAGGTTGGGATCCCTGCATATAATACAATGAAATAAAGGGTCTATATGTTAAAGAGTCACTAAAAGGTAGTAAATCTCAAAAATACATTCAAGTACCTTAAAGTGACATTAAACCCTGAGATTTTTTAACATAAACCAATACTGTAATGTGCGCCTTACTGTAATCCATGGTTGTTTCCCTTCTCTTTGCTGCTCTCCTTTTAAATCCTCATGTCTTCTCATGCTTGGGGAGAACTTCCCTTTTCATCTCAGGGCCTCTTTCTGTAGTGCTGGCTCAGGTTACAAGCCTATACAAACCTATACACAGACACCGTGTATCCATTCCTGAGACAAGGCAGTCTGCTGCAAAACAGAAGTTCTCTCCAAGCATGAGAACAGATACAGATTTAAAAGGAAGAGCAGCAAAGAGAAGGGAAACAACCATGGATTACAGTAAGGCGCACATTACAGTATTGTTTTATGTTAAAAAATCTGAGGGTTTAATGTCACTTTAACTCTGAACAACAATGTATCTTATTTGTGTATCACAAATGTGTGTCGATAAATGCAAAGTAATGCACTTTGGAATTAAAAATAAACAAATGGGTTATACAATTATGGGTATGCCGCTGGGGAAGTCAGAAATGGAGAAGGATTTGGGGGTCATTGTAGACCACAAACTGAAAGGTAGTTTGCAGTGCCAGGCTGCTGTAAACAAAGCTAGCAGGGTCTTGTCCTGTATTAAAAAGGGGATGTATTGCAGGGACAAGTCTATAATTTTGCCACTTTATAGATCATTGGTTCGACCTCATCTGGAGTACGCGGTCCAGTTCTGGTCACCAGTACTAAGAAAAGATGTCCTTGAGTTGGAAAAAGTCCAGCGGAGGGCAACCAAACTAATTAGGGGTATGGAGGACCAGAGCTACGAGACAAGGCTACTAAATTTAAACATGTTCACATTAGAGGTGAGGAGATTAAGGGGGGATATGATCTCCATGTACAAAATGTTCAATGGTGGTAGCAACATTAGCGATAAACTGTTTAAAATTAACTCCGTTACAAAAACTAGAGGCCACCACCTAAAATTGGTGGAAAAAAAATTCCAGCACAAGGGGCGAAGGGGGTTCTTCACAGTAAGATCAGTTAGGGTCTGGAACTCACTGCCACAGGCGGTGATTTCAGCAAATAATGTGGAATTGTTCAAGAAACTTTTGGACGATTTCTTAAGGGCACGTAATATACAGGGGTACGGGTACTCCTAGAATGAGATCCTAATAGGTTGGACTTGATGGACTAATGTCTTTATTCAACCTCAAATACTATGTAACTATGTAACTGGGCTGTAGATTAGACTTGTGCGCCGTCAAAAAATTTGTTTTGTTTTGTTTCAGATTATCCGTTATTTCGTATTCGAAAACTCGTTTCCGAAACTCAATTCGGATTCGTACGAAATACGAATTTTCGTTAGTTTCGTCACATTTTCGTAACTTTACGAACATTCGTTATGATGAAGTTAAAAAGCAAAAATACCTTTGTTAATATATTGGAGTCGATGGTAGTTTTTTTTTTAATCCGAAATACGAAATTCCGTTAACGGATTTTGGATCCGAATTTTGTATTTCGGATTAAAAAAAAAAAACTATCATCAACTCCAATATATTAACAAAGGTATTTTGAGGTATAAAAAAAAAAATCTTGTCATGTTGTTCAACCTCATTTGCAGGGGTAATATTAGTTCCTGTTTCAACGAAATTCGGATCCGAAATTCGTTAACGGAATTTCGTATTTCGGATATAATTCGGAAACTGCCATTCGGATTTCGGATGCTTCCGAATTTACGAATTTCCTGAAATTCGTACGAATTTCGATTCATAACGAAACGAATTGCACATGTCTACTGTAGATCCTCCAATCATCTCTGAATTGGTGATGACACTGTCTTTCCTTCTGGAGGGGGGCTACTTGTGTTCCCCATGGTCCCTGTGTGTTGTAAAGTAGTCACCGCTCCAAGCTCGCTCCCGGGATGGACTACAATTTCATGTTTAGTTTACTGATTTGTATTGAGATTGTAGTCTATCCTGGGAGCGAGCTCGGAGCGGTGACTACTTTACTTTGATATATTCATTTAATTAAATTGGCAAAATATTGCTAAAATCTTCAGTTTTTCACCAGAACTTCAAAGAAATGTAAAACCCTCAATTTCGATCATCCCTTACAGTCACCACCAAGCTGTCAGCTGCTGAATTACAGAAACAAGCAAGTTAACCAAAATTTCCAGGAAGCCGGGTTTTTATGAAGCAATTTGCTGTAAAAACATCACTAATGTAAAGGAACCAAACCACC